CCCCCCCCCCTCAATTATAACATCACAAATCTCTGCACCTCACCCCCTATAAAAAGTCCCTGTGTCCACTACTGTCCTTTACAAGCCCTTGAGAAATTCATCTCCCGTGGATATCAAATTACCACACCTGTGTCAGAAACATTTCACTAGAACAGTGGTTCTGAACGAGGGGTAAAATTATCTCCCTAGCCCTGAGGTGCGGAATCTGACCCCCACTCCCCCCCCCCCCTACCGATGCGTAACGTCATTTATGGATGGCCCCTTAATTTAGTAGAAATTCGGAGTAAGTGTAGGGTAGGGCCGATACTATGTGCAAAGAAAGTTAGGAATAAGCCATGCTTTAAATGGTATAAATAGGTTGCTATACTAAAACACGTCCATGTCGCGAGCAGGCTTATCAGACAAATACTTCTTAATAACTTATTGCGTTATTTCTAAAATAATTTATTCTTACAATTGCAAGTCAATTACAATACCTACTAAAATCGCCTATTTGTAGCACAGAAAAGTATTATAAAAAGATTTACACTTTACTTAGAATTTAGAATTTTTTTTTTACTGTTGATTGACAGCTCGGGTATAATATTAAACTGACATCTTTTTACTTAAAAAGGATAATGAAAATAACTTCGGCTCATTTGTTAATGTGATAGTGATATGGGCTAATTAAATTTAAATGGGGCATTTTAGGAAACCGGTACCGATAATACCGGGAGACTTTTCGGGAATAGGGTGACGTATGAATAACGCCATTATTTGACCTTTAACCTAAGACAGCTATCAACAACGTTAATGAAATGGCTTATACCTTTTAAATTCTTGTGTAGCCTAAAGTTGTTGTTTTTTTTTTAAATTTTTTAAAAATATGTTGACAATCTAACTATTCTATTTATTAGCATGCAGCGATTGTCACTGCATTTTATTAATTCATCTAAAAATAGTTGGGGATCGAGCTATGGCTATAATAATGATAAAGATATCTTTGACTTAGTCATAAAAATAAAGAATGTTTTGAATTTGAAATTTTCAAGCTATTTCCCATTGCACAATCATTGTGTGTACAAAACCAATTTTTCATATTTGAGAAATCCATTTTTGCCTTTGTTGGGAACATTAGCTTTACACAGACAGCCTTTACTATTACTATTAGATTTGCCAGAGAAAACTGCTTGGTTTTGGAATTCTTACACTGTTTCTCGCCTAAGAATAGGAATAGATCTTGATAATGAAATTCTTAAATTTGAGGAAACTTATATTTATAACTGTAACAACTCATGTAAGTCTGAAATGAGAAGACATCAAAGTCAAAGGTATCAGTATCTTAGTCACTTAGTCTGAGTATTTAGTATTAACAATTAAATTATATCTAGTTATGATATACTGATATTATAAAATTATAATGAAGGTACTGAATAATAGTATTTAGTATTTGTCATTTGTATTATCATGATTGAGACTTAATTTAATTGTCTTAAAATTAATGAGTAAGCCTTAGGCTTATACTTATACATTTAATTTAATTAATTTATCTTAATTACTTTCTAATACTACGGAAATAATGCCTTTATTATTTTTGTAGTTTTGTTATTATTAGCATCATTTATTATTTGAGCCCTAATTTAATATGGTATAATTTATTGTTATATTTTACATTATTATATTTTTAAAGAGTATGGTTTAGGGATGATAGTATGGTACCTATCTAAGATTTAACTTTATTTAAGCACTTGCATCATCAATATTAATATCCCTTTAAAATGCGTAAAATGTTTCTATTAAATTAAAGCACTCATTTCTGTGACACTGTTAAATCTGCATCTTCTGAGCCTCAGACTGAGGGGTTAAATATGTCTGCCGGTACCAGTACTAACTATGTTGTTGGTCATGACAAGAAAGAAACATATTTCTACATCAAGTTAAGAGGTTTGTCTTATCACACCAATAATATGGTAACGGTACAGGGGGAGGGGAAATACTCTTTATTTTACACATTGCTAATATTAATTATGCTATGAAAATGATTATTTATCAGAAAATATGTATATTTTTTTATAAAGATTGTCAAAAGTTTTGTTATTAATCACAATCAGCTTATTTAAATATTAATGGCATTTTCAAAATATTATAATTATGTAAATGTAACATTTTATTTATCTAACGGTATTAATATTCAAAGAAACAACTGACAGCCAAGCGGGGAGTATGGCCATTCTTCAGTATAACTGGGTTCGACCAGGGCTTGCTGATTTGCATCATACAGAAGTGCCCTCTGAGTTTCAAGGACGTGGAATTGCAAAACACTTGGTTTTGGTATGTCAAAATGGACTATATAATTTCTAAATATTACGTACCGGTACACATGAAAAAAATTAGGGGGACTTGGCAGAAATGTTTTTTTATGGGAGTTATCTGCAGATGTGTCATTATACACATTGCATACATTATTCTGCAAAAATTATCCAGAATTCTGACAGTTCATAAGTATCAGTAGTTTATTTCTAATTGTCTAAAAAGTTATCAGTGGGGAGGGAGGAGAGAATGAGCCAAAACAAAAATATTTTACATATCTATACTATTACCATACTAATATTACTACTACTATTATTACTGGTAGGATTATATGGATGGTCATAGGTACTCTCCAATTACTTAATCTCCAAACTCTACCATCCCCTCTGTTTATGTTTTAATTTTTCTAAGTCCCGTATCACCCCCGCACCCCCATTTTTATCTTTTATAAGTCACAATTATACTATTTAACTATACTATAAACATAAAAGCGGTGTAGCGATGCATATGTGGCGATCAGGAAAAAAAAAACCCTTGAATCTTTAAATAAAAAATCTAACCAAATCAAATGCTTATGAAATAAATTAATAATGGATTGTTATAAATATTATAATAATTAACATTAAATTATTTGATATGCTTATGCTTAAATTATAAATTAATCTTAAATTTAAATATATTATTAACCTTTTTTCCACAGGCTGCTTTGGACTCTTTGTGTGAAGAAAATATTATAATCCGACCAACTTGCACTTACGTTCAGAAAGTTCTAAAAGACAACCCTGTTGCTTTGCACATAAATCATATTGAAAAGGGCTTTACATTTCAGAATTGAGTCAAAAATTAAATTATACCTGGTATTTAATATTGAATTTATATTTTTCTTTCAACATTTTTGAAAATAAAATTACCTTTATTTTTCAAACTGCGGTACCAGTATTTAAATTTACCAGGTATATAAGTATAAGTAAAGTAGTTAATTAAGTGAGCTTCCAAATAAGCTAAGCAAGACCAATTCCTTCTTCCAAATTTAAGTGTTTAACAATGTGATTAATTAATGGGAGTGTAGTTTTAAAATAATAAGTTCCTTAATTTATTAGCGAGTTATATTTATATAACCGGTATTTGAAAATGAAGATATCGGAATAATTGTGTGCGCCCTGCCATAATTAAATATGATTCATAATTTTTTTAAGTATGGTATCCCTCCCAGTAAAAAATACTTCTATTATTAAACATCAATATACTTTTAATAATTTTCATCATAAAAATAGGTGTTTGTGTATGTCAATACAAATAAAACTCCACTCAAAAATACTGTTTGATCTCAACTTTTACTCCAAGCCACTTCCTTTCCATTCTTCTATTTCTATTATTGTTTCTGTCTGGTTTTTTCGGCCCACACCTATTTTTTTCTTTTTAAGGTAAGAAGTATGTTTACACCAGTATATATATATATATAAATATATATTATGTAAATTTAATTCATTCTTATTTAAATGTTTTGTTGTACTGATGAAGGCATGTGCCGAAATGTCTACTTGTGTATTATTATTATGTAAAAGTATTAATAAAGCTCAACATAGGGTATAAATAGTATGATATTGACACAAATTGTTCATGTCTAATTTATTTTAAAGCTTTGTTGCTGTCCAACACTTTATAATTAGTTAATAAAAACTACTTTCACAGCAAACACACATTCAAGCATGCACAGTAACTCAAGAAAAAACTAACATTTGTTTCTAATATTTTATTTTACTTTTAAGCTTGTTTATATATAATTACAACAAGTTGTAAACAACAATTAATAGACATTGATCATCTGTTTTGCTAATCTCCTTCCTGTTTAGGCAAAGAAAAATTTAAAAAAAAAATATATGCATGTAAAATAAAAGAATGAGAATTATCAAATTATAATATATATTAGTACAGGTATCAATGTTTTGCAAAATTATCTGATCTTTATCAATTGCTTTCTATATAAAATGGAAAATAAATTGAAAAGGAAAGATCAAAATGAAATCAACAGGACTGATTAGTCATGAACAGTTGAGGCCAATGCATCCCTTGACAGCTACAAATGTTTTATTACTTCTTTTACTCTGTTAACATGGGAAAGGAGAAATGCTTGTATTTTCAGGAGTTGTAACAGATTAGATTTTAGCATAGTACAGGCTAGTGGCCTGGTAATTTTGTAACACATACCTAACCTACAGTTTGATGTAAAAAATCTAAAAATAGCCTGATTATTTTATTTTTAGGGAAACTATTAAGTGTCAAAAGAATGAAAAAAAGTGAAATACCAGTACAATAATAAACTCCATCCAATCTTATAGTATTATCAATGTCATTACAATTAGATTTACACCTTCTAATTAGAATAGCAATTAACTTGATAGCAGATACGTAGAAATATATTTAATTTCGCTTAAAACAAGACATCCTGAATGTGAATATACCCGGTAATAATTAAAAATAAACTAGCAGCAGAGTTGAACAGAGTTTTCAAAATATGAAGGACTCATGAGAGAGAGTAGGTTAAAATTAAAGTACCAGACCTGTTTACCCTCAAACTCCTAAAATCGTACAAAATCGTCTCAAAATCGTACAATACAGTATCTTAATAGTAAATACATAAATATACAGTATATATAATATATAATGTATACAGCATCTACTGGTATAGCGTGTTCAGTGGCATCCAGTTCAGCGGTTTGTTAAAAAATGGAACTGTAAGGTAATCAGTATTCGACTGACGTTAACTGCAAACTGCGGTCACTTCATTTTGAAGACCTGCATCTGCTATAGATACCTCCATGTTTGTTACCTCCATAAACGATATATTTATTTTTATCCCACCCTTTATTTTATTTGTGTATTCCCTATTTCGAAGTGTACTTGTAAGAATTTCATCCAGGAAACCCTGGCGAAAACCTAATATGACATATGCGCCGGGAAACAAAATTATAAGAACCACTGGCGTAGCCCAACGAAATATGCGTCACACGCGCGCTGAACACTCATGACTAAACACAACTGTAACTTCTCTACTACTGCT